ATGGCCGACCGGCTCAGACCCCGCCCAAATCGGCACGTGACTCCTCACTCTCAATAAAGGAAACACACACAGGAGGGTAACGAGACAACAGGTGAGGAATATTAATTACTAAACAGATAACGAGTAGGGAGGAGCTAACAATTAGACAGAAAGCACATGGCACAGGAATAATCAGGAGCCATGTGCTCACATGAAACTAGACTAACATAAACACGAGACAGACAGGAAATGTCATAGCTCTGTCACCACACAGACCTTGTAACAAAAGCAGAAGTGACAGAACCATGACAGCGATAAGCACAAGAAAAGATTGGAAATTAAAATGGCCAAACAAAATTCTTTAAATATAAAAGAAAAGAGCAGATAAGTGTAATTTTTTTTTTTAAATTAAACAGTGCTGCTCATTCACGTCGTAGGGCCCTATAATTTCCGCGATCACGGAATCGCGGAATTGGCCAATTAACGCCGAATCTAGTGTTAACGTGGAATTTCGCGGAATTTTACATATTTGGAATGAAATTCTGTTTTTGTGTGGGTGAAGAGCATATGTCTGGGGAAAATGCAGACAGGGGGAAGCAAATCTGGGCAACAACCCCTCCACCCCGTTATTTCAGCTCCAATGACAGCATCAAAACAATTAAAGCATGGCGAAGCGGCTCTCCACGGCTCTGCTTTCGTCGGCGAAAAAGTTAAGAAACTCGACGCCAAGCCCTAGAGCCGAGCAGTTCGCACGTGACTTTTATGAAGTGTTTCCCACACAGACTAATTCATGGAGGTGCGCCACAGAATCAACACCGGCCGCCACATATTGCGTTTCGTTCATTTTTTTTAACGCTATTTAAATCACGCAGCGTATTCTTTCAGTTGCATTTTCTTTCCCTGCTCTCCCTCCGTCTCTCTGTCACTCACACGTCTCTCTCACACACACACACACACACCCCATCCCCTCCGTGCACGTCTGTCTATGATGCGCCGGACTGGACAAAAGCGAAGTGACACTGCGCGGGAGAGACCGAGTGTGTCCGAGAGCGCGCTCGACAGTGTGCGAGAGAGAGACAGAGTGTGACTTATTTAATAAACTAATATAATTTATTTTACTGGACAGTTTAAAGCTCATAACCATATTCTGTTGTTACTTGAAGTACTTAGAGTGCAGTGTTATGTTGCATCATGCAGTATTTGTGCTGAAAAGTAAGAGTAAATGTCTGTTACCTCAATAAATTTAAGGTCATTCCTATTTTATTTGTGTACATTTTAATCATTAACATTAAAAGCACACTCTTTTTACAACTAAAATAACAGTAAAAAACAGTAAAGGGTAAAAAAAACTGAATTCCCCCAAATTAAAATGATAAAAACGGAATTTGCAAAAATTAAAACGGAAAAAACAGAATTTGGGAAAAAATAAAACTGATTTTATAGGGCCCTAACGTCGGTCAGCTGCCGTGTGCAGAATGTGCTGCTCCTCCTCACAGCCATGCACTAAACAGGTTCGACACAGGGAGAAATCAAGACCTCTCGCTCGCAGGACAGTACTGGCAACATTTGGAGATAACTAAAATTTGTCCAAAAAGTCACTAGATTTGTCGCTAGGCGCTTTTTTGAAAAAAATGTCGGCAAAGGGGTCTGAAAAGTCGCTTAAAAAGTCACTTAAATAGCGACGAATGCGCTAAGTTAGAAACACTGCACTTAGAATGGCCGTGTTTCGGCGGGAAAGTGACGTCAATGCGCGACCCCTCATTCATTATGGTGATGTCCGAGATATTGTAATTTATACTGTAATTTAACACAAACACATTTTATTGGTGTCAACAGTAGGGCTCCAGACATGCGACCAAATGATCGCATTTTACGACCATTTTTCCTGCTGGTGCGACTAAAATTTTATATAGGTTGCACTGGCGCGACCACAATGTTGCCCGGCATTAAATGGAAAACTAAATGAAAGAGGACTGAAACTGCGCTACACATGCAGTTCTGACCAATAATAGACAGTGCAGCGCCGCAAGCTACTCGATCACGCGACACCGTTACTACACAGCGCTGGGAGATCCAGTGAAGAAATGCATTGAATTTGCCACACAATTAATAACATCGCTGCGAGATCCAGTGAGAAACATTCAGATTTTGCGCAGAGTTCTCCGTTATAAACCATATCAGATCAAACAGTGCTGACCTGGAAACCAGGAGAAACATTGTGCCATGAATGAACAAGTTATAGAAGGTTAAGTCCCCAAATCAGCAACATTCACCATGGATTAGTGTAGTAACACTAACTCTATGGTATGTGACAGAAATAGTCAAACGCTTACAAGTACTACACATCCTTTTTCCAGCACTTCAAAACGCAAATCATATTTAAATGTTATTTTTAATGTGATGACCAAAACATTTTTTTGTTCATCCTTCAAAGATTGTCCCTATTTATAAAAATAAAAGTTTCAAGATTTAGGAAAAGTCACACTTATTTAAAAAATTTAAAAATATTAAATTACCGTAATTATGTAGGTGGTTGCTGAGGACCGCTTTTAGCTATTTTCACTCCCATATCAATTTTTACCCTGGTTTTGCTTTTAAATTAATATATGACATTATGAATGATAATAATTGAAGTTAATTTTATCTACACCTCAAATTAAGCTCAGTGCTTTATTGTCAGCTCCACAGTATTACCAGAACTTAGTGGCTCTGGTGCTGCTGCCCTCAAATGTTAGTCCGGAGCCCTGTGAACTTAACGTACAGAAATTACAATATACAGTTTTATTTTAAGTAAATTTATTACCAAGGCATTTGTCAGTAATACAGTCAAAATGGGGGGAAATGTGAATAACTGCGTTGCAGGTTGATTTAAAGTTAAAAATAATCCAAAATAATTATATTAAAAAAAACTTATTCTGCCAGTGGTCAAAACTATCTGCTTGCCATAGCTAGATTCAAAACGGTTAGCTTGTAATAATGATTTTAATTCCAGTGGTACTGGTGGGTTTCCGCGGAAAATTCGAGCATGTCTTTGCGTCATGACGTCACACCCGTACACATAAAGAAGGAGTTTCGGCTAGCCGGCTATACTGCGCGTGAGGAGATGTTTAGATGTATAGACTTTTCTCGCAGCACTTTACATAATTAAACTTATGGCATCCAGAAAGATCCAAACAACAATCATCAGTGTCAACTGGAGATTCAGCAGTTATAAAACCCAAAAGACTTCGTACTTCGGATTTAAGGTGGCTAGAGAAAGAGAAAGAAACCGTCTCATGCGAACACAAGGATTTAAACATCGGCGGGGCTTTTGAAAAGTGCGTGAACTTTTCAAAGTTCAAAGAAGGGGTTCAAAACGGAAGAAGAGACGGCTTTTTGCTGCTGAACAAGTAAGACATTTCAATAGTTCAATCGTGTAACAGTACGTTTTCTTAATTCACACAGTTATGGAGTTTCCTTTGTTGTGCCTTTCTCGTTTTGCTATTATGGAGAATATGAATTCTGAACTACGCTGCTAACCATAAAACACATTAAATTTAACATTAGTCACGCAATGCTGATGTTGTTAACATGAACAATTTGAGAACAAAGTAGGCTATAATTTGCACGGTTGCTGTAAATCGCGTTGATTAAATCTAACGAAACTTATGTCGAATGCTTTTTCCCCCTTAGTTGGTCAGAACAAAAATGGATTTTACTTACTTGTTCAGAAGACATTTTCTTATGAAAATTCTTATGTTGGTCAAACTTTCAAAAAGTGAATCTGTGATTCTGTATGACAGTATCCACACAGCGCGGTGACTGACAGCAGCACTCGCCTCAAAACACTGTGTTCATCCGCGCTGTTTCATGCCGATTTACAACCCACGTAAAGATAATAATTCCGCGAATCACTGCAGTTACAGATTTCGAACAGAGAGATGGCGACAAAGAGGAAAAGATACGGACTGCAGCTTTAAGCTGTGCCCCTAAATATCAGTTATGGGCTACAACAGGGTTCTTAATAAAAACAGTTATGGTGCGTTCTATTATAGCCAACGAACCGACTCGGACCTCGATATGACGTCACGTCCACACTTCAAGCGTTCTATTATGTTTTGCGCGTCCGAGTCGGAGAAAAAAATGGACGCCACCCGGAAAGCTGTTGTAATGGTAGCATTGGCCAAGTACCAGGCGCTCCAAAATAACTATGTGCTTCACCTGCAATGTTCAGGTGTTCACTTTATTTAATAATGAAAATGTGTTCAGGTGTTCACTTTATTTAATGTTTTCATGTTAATCTTCTGTTAGCAACGTTAGTAATTGCACTCACAACAACCGATTCCCATACCTACAGGGGACGCAGTAATACGAGTGATTATATTCGTCATTTAAAATACCAAAGCGGTTCAAAAACAATGAAAACAATTCACTTACAATTCACACAGGGCGCAGCCATCTTGAATTCCGAAACGGAATTCTTGCTCGGTGTCCTCACGGTTGTCCGACGTCCGAGAGGAGAAATCCGAGGAAAGGGGGCGTGTTGCTAGGCAACGTCTGTCTTCCGATTCGGATCTCCGAGACGGATAAATAATAGAACGCACCATTAGATCTGGAGCCCTAAACAGAGTCTGTAAAAAAAAAAAAAAAAAAAAAAAAACACTCTAGTACCAACATATTATTACACTCTAATATTAATAAACCAGGACACACAACGCATTTCATTATTGGCCCTAAAGGGATACTCCACCCAAAAATTAAAATTCTGTCATCATTTACTCACCCTCAGGTTGTTGTAAACCTGTATGAGTTTCTTTCTTCTGCTGAACACAAGGAAGATATTTTGAAGAACGATTGGAACCAAACAGTTGTTTGGCACCATTGACGACATAGTAGGGAAAAAAAATACTATGGAAGTCAATGGTGCCCCACAGTTTGTTTCCAATCGTTCTTCAAAATATCTTCCTTTGTGTATCCCTTTAAAAACACAAACTCGAGGAGCTGGTTAATGTTAAACTCTGTAATCTGGTAACATCTCTCACCTGCAGACTGGAAATATACGGCATCCGAAGAAAATATTCCACATTTGTCCTTCATTCGCGATCGTTAACAGTGTCACTTTCAACCTCGACTGGTGAAATATTCAGCTCGTCTCGTCTCTCTCGCTTCTCTCTTCTGCGCATCCTCAATGCGCAGCGAGTCATGTTTCTTAAAGGGGCCGCATATTCTTAAAGTCCCCCTGTCAATAATTTTATCCTTTAAAACTTGTATTTGATCACCAAAATGACATATTTGAGCTTTTTTTTTTTTTTTTTTTTAAATTCTGCACACCTTAAAATAGATTGAATGTAACTCCACATCCTTGTCTCATTTAGTACATGGTTCTATGAATATGAAAATTAGCCCCACCTGCACTCACTCACACCAGCCCATAGTAGGGATGGTAAGATTTACCGATTCGAATCGGTGCATCGACATAAAAGCTAATGATGTAATGCATTGGTTTTTTTAAAGGTGCTATATGGAACTTTTCTTCTAAAATGAATCCTTTTTTTATTGCCTGTGTGTGAAGGGGTTGTAATCACACATTACAATGATCCACTTGTCGGGTTTTGGTATTACCTCTGAAGGCCAATATACATATTTATATGTGAAGTCTCCGGGTCGGATTTACCGCGAAATCCATCGGATGTGACGTGCATGCGCGCTCCCGAGCCGCTCTCCTTATATACAGTCTATGCGACCGACGGCACTGCAGCTGACGACATGGAGTCTGATAACACCCAAAAACGACCTGCCTCCAGCACAACACACACTCCAACACTAACTCCACATAAATATAAAAAACAAAACAAAGTTTTATCTGCTGAAGCTCGTCAGGCCAAACGTGATTCTGATCGACTCAGGACGAAAGCACGGATCAACATAGGCAGAGCTTTTGAATTATTAGTAAACTCAAATGAAATAGCAAGGTAAACTACATGAGACATGGAATGAATACAAAAGACTGTTCCAGGATAAGAAAAGGTGCTTTAGGATACTTGTTTTATGTACTAGATCTACGTTATAGATCGTACGCTATAACGTAATTCATCCCACTATCATATTGTTTATAATAAACATTTCCAGACATGGTCAGTACAGTAATGTTACTTCCTACTGTCTTACTGTTACACTGACATTGTTCAGTCTAGTTCACTAACCGTTTTCGTTATCATTATTATACATTCACCTATGTTGACATTGTTGATTGTGAAAGATACACGAATAGTTAGTGAAATGCCGTAGGCTATGCTAGATAACATCACATGTCGGCTAAATGCAGTCAATGTAACGTTATCATGGTATGAGCATGGAGCATTAGTTCAAGGTCAAGCTGATAAAAGTAGCCTATTATTGTTGCAGTGGGAGTTTACATGAGTTTCCAGCATGTTGTGTGATGCTTTCGCCGTTGCGTTGAATGTTTCCGTGTGGCCGGTAGTGAATGCTCGCTCCTGAGATCGCACACGAGCACGAGCGCTCTTGTTGCAATCTGAAACATCACCACTAGAGGCCGCTAAAAGTTCCATAGAGCACCTTTAATATTGAATTATTAGTAGAAGCCCTATACTTTTATTATTTAGAAAGTGGCCATTCATTTGTGACCAAAATTTTATATGTATGTGCTGTATTGTGCTGTATTTTATGAACACATAAACGGATTGTCATGAAACTCGGTATGGGTCATCACCACGATGCCCTAAAGGAGCCTGAGAAGTAAAAAAAAAAAAAAAAAAAAAAAAAAAAAAAATCTCCAATAGCTTATAATGCAATAACTTTGGGTGTGGCCTACTTATTCTTACAAGACTCACCTCGTTAGACTCCCAAATCCTTGCCGAGTCCAACGATACCACCCATGCTAGGTTTTGCCTTACGGTTTGTGTAGCGTGATTTAGCGCTTAAAAAACATTTGCCAATATCTTCGAAACCGTTAGACCGATCGAGACGAAACCACCGTCAGAAGTTTGGAGACATAGGTCGTTGGCTTCATGCTAATGCCCAAATGTCAAAATATTGATAGTAAGGGGTTGTAAAGAAAAAACTTTTCCCCAAATTTGTTTAAGCTGTCTTTATAAACCAATACATATTCAAAATGTAAGTACTCTGAAAAGGAGAGTATAAACATCGAGTGTCTGTAGTCCTCTCAAGCCTGCAATAAACACAGCTAATTATTCCATTCAGAACGAATTAAATGATTGGCTGGGCGACTGTCACTCCCCCTCGCTACCATGGCTACCACCCCTGCTGCTACAGGTGCCTCCCACATGCGCACACTCGATAACCTCATCAGAGAAGGTCCGTCATTGCAGAGGGGAGGAGCATTTTCAGATTTTGATCAAAGATTTTTGTGTGGATTGACGGATGAATTCGCCTTTGGCTAAGCCCCGCCCCCCTTAGTTACTGTCGCTACGTCCGACAAACAAACTTCATCTGGGCTCTGGTATCAACATGGCTTATGCTGTGACAGCTCTTCCTGCTGAAATTTTATCAAACTTTTATAAAGCAGCAAATAAAGTGTCCGATAGAAGTAGGCAAAATGGGCTGCAATATACGTTCGAACGCTACCTCTTCTCGTTTGGCTCTCAACGAAGGCGGTCGCATTTTCTTCCCCTCCTCTCCCTTACCTCCCCTGCTTTGCTCCTCTCGTCTCGTCTAGTCTACTGTCTTGTACTTTGAGAGACTCTCTCCGCACTGCTCTCCAAAACTAAGAAATTATGGATTTGATCAACTGGTCTCTCAATGCAATTGACACCATCTTCTCGACGAGAAGCTTGGGTTCGGGGGAACCTGACAGCCCTGCCGGAACGTTCGCAGCTGGCTACACGATGGACGCGTGGGAGAGGTGGCGGGTCGTGTGTCTGGCGGCTCTTTCCGTGGAGGACATTGAAGATATCTACCTATTCGGAACCATGATAACAGGTTTTTTGCTGATTGGATCAGGCATTGCCCTGGTTTATCGAGGAATTAAGAAGGCGGCGACAGCTGTCCAAAGCTCCACAAGGCTGCCCGTCATAATTGAAGCAGTGGGCAGAGCTGTCAGCACTCAGACTGGGTCTATGAACCACTATATGGATAACATCATGGAGAAGCTCACAGCTTTGCAAAGGCAAATGGATCGTTTCGGAGACCAAAATGGACCAGGAGCTGTGTAAATCGGAATGCGGCTACTCGTCCCAAGACCAAACAATCCCAATCTTATCTGCTTTCGGCCCCCCTCATCCAGCACTGGCCTTGGCCAAGGCCGCTGTTGGAACAACAACTCCCCCGGAAGAGCACTGCAGTGAGCCGCTCTTGCGTTCCTTCCCCCACTCCCCACAGACACCTGGTGACTGTTGACTCTGTCTGGGACCTGATCAAGGTTGTCTCCGTGGCAACTTGCTGTGTATCGCTATGAAAATCCTGCGGACTGAGGCACCTAGATTATGAAGCCAGGCACAGCGACTCTCCAGGCCTACACATACATGAACTCTTACATACAGATATGCAATCACCCCCCTACCCCCCATCCCCCGCCTTCAACGCTTTGTACCACCAGTCTGACAGGCGGGTCTGCGACCAGCACCGAAAATGGCTGCAGGACCGGACGCTGCCTGCCTGTGCTGGGTTACCTCCATCCCCCACTCCCCTCCCCTGTTGCAAGTCTTGTGTGTTCATGTTGTAGAGTGAACTGATTGTGCTAATGTTGCTGAGGTGTTTTTTACTGTTCCCAAACTGTACTCCTCACAGGAGCATAGTCCGGGGGTTGCCTTTTTTTCTCCTCACCTCTCCTCATGTTATGCTGTATTTTCTTCCTCAATGCTCTGTCTTCCTGTCCTGTCTACCCCCTTGTCATATTGTATGTATGTCTGTATGGACAGGTTGATGGCTAATTTCCCTGGTACTTGTGACTAGTGACAATAAAGGCTACTACTACTATATTCACAACATAGGTGAAACGCAAGGAACACCAAGGCATCCAAATAGAGGCAAAAGCATAACGGTCACAGTCAAAAAATGAACCACCGCATATCCTACTAATCGAGGCTGGGACTAACAATATCAAGGACCAACACTGTTCATGCAAAGCTGGGTAGGTCTCTATTCACTTCTATAATCGTTATTACAAAGCAAACAGACTACACAAGTATAACGTTGTACTTATTAGCAGCGTGTGCTAGACGACACTTGACAGGATTTGACTTCGGTTTTGGGATGGGAAAAAAACGGACACCCCCCTCCAACCTCTCTGGGAAACGTATATCTGTGTTACAAATGCCCCAGGCAGAACGTTTAACCATATTTTTTATAAAACTACGAGGGTAATAGCCTGCCGAGACCAAAAATATGAGACGCCTGTGTTAAAGTCAATGGAGCGCTGTGAAAAAGTGTCAGACCTCTGTGGGAGCTCGTTCTTGGCTGCGCTGTGATTGGTCAATCTACATTCTAGGGTGTGGCTTAGCCAAAGGCGAATTGTTCACCACAAAACTAACAATTTGCGCTTATAAAGTAAATATGGTCATTTTTGATTTCATGTGTACTTTAGGTCACTTTTCCTCACTGATACGGAGCAAAAACACTATCGTCATATTTATGACTTCTGAACTGGGTTAATCAAATGTTATCAATACCAACAAAAGTTGACAGACTTGTGTCTAAAATTAAAGTTACTCAATAATAATTTGTTTATGGAGCTGTTACAAACAGCACTTTTGCTTCTGTATGTTGCTTGATTTTGTGATGCATCCTTGTGTTGATCCTACATCATATAATTATTAAAACATTAAAACTATTTTCTCTAAAAAAAAACTCTAAAAATGTGAAAAAAGTGAAAAACTCTTTCCACAAACACATATTAGACTTCTCATCTGCATGAACCTTCAGGTGTTCTTCCGAATTGATGTTGAAGTAAAGTATTTACCACCCTGATCACAAATAAATGGTTTTGTTCATTAGATCGGTTTATTCTTCATAATCGAATGTACTATCAAAACACAATGTGGGAGCTAGAATAAGTATATCATATGAATATATCTAATTCAAGAAAGATCTACTGATGACACGACCCATCCTGACAGATTCTGCAAACTAACCAGTAGGAAAGAAACAGATCATTATTTACACGGCAATAATTATTTTAGCTTTTAGAAACACTCTTTTAGTTCCCTGATCAGACTACAAACAAGCCTTTCTAGTTCTATAAGCATTTCACCAAATTCACAAAGTTAAACAAGATGATATTGTTCTTTTTGGAGCGACTCCATATTTTGTTCAATTCACAACATTTACTTGACAGTATTATACATGAAAATGAAATGTTGCTCATTATGACGACTTATGCAGGGTTTGAAATCAACTGGCCAATTTGACTACTAATTTGTTTAAGTTAAAAGTTACCGGCCATTCATATCTTCTACTAGCCAAAAAAAGAAAAAGAAAAGAGCCAGCCTAACAGCCTCACAGCTTATATTTCATGTGACTGCGAAAACTACAAGAATGTCTAAAAATCTTATCACACTGATTACAGTAGTACGGCTTCTCTTCAGTATGAAGTCGCTCATGTTTTTTCAGTTTTCCAGACTGAGTGAAACTCTTGTCACAATATGAGCACTTGTGAGGTTTTTCTGCAGGATGAGTTTTTTGGTGCTGTTTCAGATATTCAGCTGTAGTAAATTTCTTCCCACAGTCACAACACACATGATCTTTCACTTCATCATGTGTTTTCTGGTGCAGTTTAAAACTGTTCAGGCGTAAAAATCTCTTTCCACAGAGAGAACACACATAACGCTTCTTATCTGAATGAACTTTCTGGTGTTGTTTTAGACCTGAGGCTTTAGAAAATCTCTTTCCACAGTCAGAACACACATTGCGCTTCTCATCTGAATGAACTTTCTGGTGTTGTTTTAGACCTGAGGCTTTAGAAAATTGCTTTCCACTGTCAGAACACGCATAACGCTTCTTATCTGAATGAACTTTCTGGTGTTGTTTTAGACCTGATGCCTGAGAAAATTTTTTTCCACATTTAAAGCATGTATAAGGTTTATCTCCAGTGTGAATTTTCATGTGTCTCTTAAGGTTTCCTTTTTGACTGAATCTCTTTCCACACAGAGTGCAGGTGGGCAGCTCTTTGGCTTTTGTTTCTTGAATTTTAAAGTCGTGTTGTTCCTCCTTAAATTCCTCCAGTTCTTGTCTTTCCTCTTTCACTTCCATTCGATCTAAAACAAACATAAAATTAGAATCAGTTCAAGTGAACCATGATTTAACCCCTTAAACCCGAAGTGTACTCGCCGGTGAAAAAAAAAAAACATATTCAAATTTCTAAGAAACCACTGAATGGAACAACAAAATAGGTGTCATTTTAAAGCTTAGAATCTTTTCAGCTTTTTAATGCATCCAACTCTTAACAAGTGCTGAGTAGTTCCTCTAAAACGGAGTGTACTGCCCACGGGCGCCACCTAGCTGCGAATCAACACAAAATTGTGTCATTTGAAAGCTGAGAGTCTGAACTTTACAATGAATGTAGCCAATTTGATTCTCTCCTAAGTAGTGCTCAGTTATTTGCTGATGAAAAAAAAAAAAAAAAATCATAATCTATAAAATACTTTTTTGTACACTGTAAAAACTAAAGGTGCCTCAAATATCCTGTCGGATACTCAAGGAACTTCAAAATGTAATTTAATAGTAGGGTTACTGTAGGGTTACTGGAGGAGCATTGGCAATCTTTGTGGTTCTTGCTGAAACTTATGGGATCCTTTAAGCACTTTGTATTCATTTCAGAGGTGCTGGAGTCACCTTTTCATACCATGAGACCTCGAAGTGCTTTGGGGGAATTAGAGGAACTCGAATGCTATAACAGGGTTATGATCTTTTAACATTTAAGTGGTTCCTCCTGGAAGATCTCTTATGTTAAAGCCAGCATCTGGAGGAACCCAATGGTTATGTGACGCCAGAATAAGATTATTATTATCCTATTATTATTATTATTATAGACCTACTTAAGTTTGATTCAGAAGGCTTATGTAACCCAGGTTACTAAAGAGACATTGTTGACGTAAGGGAAAAAAGAAAAAAAAGAAGACACTGACATTTAACATGAATATATGTAAAGTTATTTTATTAAATATCTTGAAAGAGGAAAAATGAGAAAATGCATGAATTTAGATTCATTTAGATTTTTATTCTAAATTGATGAGCAGAGAATGAGCCCCGCCTTAATGGGTGGAGCCAAAACGTAAGATGATGAAACACTCCTTGCGAGAGAGAGAGCAGATGGCGCGATCTTGAGAAGCGGATGGTGCGATTCTGAAGAGAGAAGAAATTTTAATTAGAACCGAGAATAACTATCAGTTGTATTGGAGAAATAACTTTTGAGAGACTTTGAAACTGAAGTAAGGATTGAGTTTCATCGGTGAATGAGTACGGGTGAACGTGTGACTGATTGCACGTTAGGCTGCAGAGGATTTGGGCCTAAAGTAGGAGTTTGCCTTTGAAAACCTTCATAATCGAAAAATTGAGTTCTCTTGGTAAGCAAAATAATTATATTTTCTATCACAAAGAGTTTTCCTTGTTTAAATGTCGATTAAATAGTGTTTAAATATTAAATGCTAGTGTTATATGCATTCGTATGTAAAAGAGATTATAAGAGTTAATATTTTGTCTAAAATGTGAAGAAATATTGCGTGAATGGGTCAAATAATTAATGTTTCCGAGCTAAAAGTACTTTGAACAGTTAACAGATATTATTCTGGCGACATTTTGTCGTGTATTCGAGCTATGAGTTAATGGCCGATTGTGACGCACATTTAATACGAGCAGATGAGGTCTAAGCGCGTCATTTGGAACTTGCTCTCAGTGCATTTATGTGAATTTAATGTGCTAAAAAGTTAAACGAAATTGAAGTCAGAGATGTTTAATGTGTTTATATTTAGGTTAAATGTTGTAATGATGTATATTTTTGAGAGAAATGACTAATTGCATCTTTGGCCTTGTCTTTTGCAAGGTTGGGTTTTTTTTTTCCCTCCCTTTCCCTTGTTTTCTTTTTGGACACTTTTATTATATTTCCCCTTTCCATGTTCATTTGCTGAGACGGACGTTGCACATTCCTGGATGCTGAACGAGTTTGACGAAGATTTCGCACGTGTATTGTCCCCGTTGCACATCAGAAAGGAAGCCATTGTGAGCGGGAACTGGCGAGCCATGCCCATATAAGGACTGAGTCTTGAATCAAGGAAATGAGCTGAGTGGTAGGATTGTGCACACGTTTCTTTTCTGTATTGACTAAGCCTGAATTGCGGAAGAAGGATCTCGCGGAAGGATCATCAGACTGAAGCTGAAATTCGGTAACCTGATATAACTGACACTGTTGGTTGAGCACTAAATTGGACTTAGTGTGATTTCAAATTTTCCCCGTTGCTGTTATTTCTTTTTGATTGTTTCAAGTCCTTTTGTATTTTTATTATATTTTCATTTTTATATTTTTTATTCTGATTGAATATTGTATTGTTTTTTCTCATTTGTTTCCTATTTTGTTTCTAAGGTAACGAGAGTTGAAAGGAGAATTTAAAGGGTAATTGGGTGAAAAAGTTGTAGCTAGAATTAGATTTAAACATAGCTAAAATTAGGTTTAACTGTAATTAGAATTAAATTATTCTATTAACTAAATTATTATACTATAAATAGGTCAAATTAGCTTTATATATATATATATATATATATATATAATAAAAATAAAAAAAATAAAAGAAAGGGAAAATAAATTAGATTTATTAGCTTGAACCTAAATAGGACTTAACTCTAGTGTAAAGAAGTCACACTTTCACTTGTCCAGAACAAAACTTTTGCCGTCTTCCTGATTATTTATTATTTTTCCTCTTTTGAGTTATGTGACAATGTTTTGAAATTTTACTGCCTTGTCCTATTATCATTCTTCTATTTCTTTATTTTATTTACTAATTCCTCGAAATATACTTACCTGTTCTAACGCAGTTCAAGTGTGTCCTTGATTCTTTCCCCTTGTTGTTCACACGGTCTCTTGAGCGAGTCTAGTCTTCTGATCGCTGGTCCAAATCTTAGAGCGGTGCACCTTCTTCATGCTCATCTGCATATTTCGTAGTTTGAGAGTGGGGGTTGTGTTCTAGCCGCGAGGCGTGTTACAGAAAGTTGGCGAGCCAGCCAGGAGACCTTTGCTTAGCAACAAGTTAGCAACCGGTAAGGGAGGCAGGAAACAAGCAGATTTGTGACGTGAAATCAGTTTTTTCCGAGTGTTGTCTTTACATCGTGGTTATGGAGATCATAGAGAAAGAGAACGTGAACGTGGGAAATGCGATCATAGTCAAAGGCCTCACGTTGACCGAGGTAGACGAAGAGCTAGTAAACTTTTTGCAAAAGTACGGCTCAATTAAGAGCAATCTGATAATTGATGACCAAACTTCCGAGTTCCATCAGCAGGCTATTGTAGAGTATGCTCACAACTCTGCGATGCTGAACTTAACGCCGATGTTACCCTTAACTCTGGGATGCCTTTCGGACCCAAGCGTTATGTTCCAGGTACGAGCTCTGGCTAGCGTCTGTAACCAGACGACTAGTGAAAAGCCTCTCTCAAATGTGTCTCAGGAGGAGTTGGACGAACTCCAAGAAGTTCACTCCACTAACTGTACTCCAGAAAGAGCGCGAAAAGTGAGCTGTGATGATTTCAGCAATACAGAAGCAGTAGGGATGCGAATTTTAGAATCCAAAAGCCCAACCAAGAGACGGATGGCCCATATGGCCTCCCCAGATCCAGAGACCACTGTTGATGGTGTCACAGTGACTACTAGCCCTGGTTTCCCCATGAACGTTGTAGACCCACCGGGTATTCAAAGGATGGTAGTAGAGCACATAGTGAAGTCGGCTGATGCTGCGATGTTTCAGCAAACCTCAGTTCGCCTTAGGAATTTCTCAGGGAGGTGCCCGCGCCCTCCAAATGAACCTGATTTTGACACTTGGCGAGTAAGTGTAGAGCTCCTGTTAAGTGATCCGGCCATTTCCGATTTACAAAGGGTACGTAGGATCTTAGATAGCTTATTGCCTCCTGCCGCAGACGTAGTGAAGCATGTGCGACCTCCAGCTTTGCCTGCGGTATACCTTGAGTTACTAGAATCAGTGTATGGTTCAGTAGAGGATGGTGACGAACTGTTGGCCAAGTTTATGGGCACTTTACAGAACCAAGGTGAAAAGTCGTCAGATTTCTTGCACCGGTTGCAAGTTCTTCTAAGTTCGACGATTAAGAGGGGAGGCATCGCGGAGGGAGATCATGACCGTTGTCTTTTGAAACAGTTTATGAGGGGATGTTGGGATAATGGTCTCATTGACAGCCTTCAGTTAGGGAAGAGCGGAACCCGGCCACCCACTTTTGCTGAATTGGTTGTGTTAATACGAGCAGAGGAGAGTAAGCGTACCTCTAAAGAAGAGCGAATGAGAAAGCATCTTGGGTTGTCGAAAACTCCTGTTGCTTACCCGAAACCACGAGCGGCCACTCAGCAAGTGTCAGTATATTCACATGAGGCACCAAATGCTAGCACTTCTGAAAGCGATTCTCTAAGACAACAACTTGCAGATGTTCAGGTTCAACTTGCTACTCTAAGTCGAAATCCAGATCAGAAACGCCAGAGCGGATGCTCTGAGAAAGCAGAATTGAACGTTTTGAGGGGAGTAGTGGAAGAGTTGCGCGCTCAGGTAGCCGCCATGAGAGTTTCCATGACCCAAGAAGTAAAGCGCGAACATTCAGATAGTTCAGAAGTCGCTAACTTAAGACGACAGGTAGCTGAGCTGCAAGCTCAGAGTGCTGTTCAAAGGAATTCTAGAGATCACTTTCGGGCGACCGGTAGTCCTCAAATTTTTCCGCCTCAGAATTTGTTGAAAACCGATACTGGCCGAGATGTTAGAAGGGCCCAACCAATGACTAATCGACCTCGTCCCGGATATTGCTTTCGATGCGGAGAGGATGGCCATTTGGCTGTTGCCTGCGATAATCCGGTAAATCGCCTGAAAGTTGAGGAAAAGCGCTGTAAGTTGAGAGAGCAACAGGCTCAGTGGGACTCTATGCATGGGAATTCCTCTTTGCCTTTAAACTAAGGGACGTCTCTGTAGTGGGGCATACGGAGATGAGATGTAAAAGAACCCGCCCTAAGTGTGGTAAGCAAGCACCTGTCGCGAACAATCAGCATAAAATACCTTT